AGACCAGTATACCATCAATTCCTATTTATGTGTGGATATGTGGACAACTGAGCCTTCACTATTTGTGTATAGGAAAAGTCAGTCTTGGCAAACCTTCTATTCTTGCAGGGACATTCTCAACCATTCTCTTCTGTACCCTGATACTAGATCTGGCAATGCTGCTATAGTCCTAGTGCCATTCCTTTAGGAAGAGTATTCTGTTGCAAATGCATGTAAAACTGTGTGGGTTCCACAGTCATAGGAATTCTTTTGTTATCACCACACAAAAATGTGGTCCATCCTAACACAAATGACATCACTGCTACCTAGTGACCCGTAACCCCTGACCACTGGCTGTGCTGGCTCTGGCATATCAAAACATCTGGAAGGACCAGGTTGGGAAAGTCTGCTTTAAGTACTTAAGGAGTATGCAAGATCAGACTATGATCAAGAGAGAACCTCCTATACAGGATAGAGATTATGACATGAATATTTAATGTTTCTCTGAGATGGATGCACTTGCTCCATGGAGAAGACTATTGGTCCAAATAAAAATGGTCCAATTAAAAGTGAAAATAAGTAGTTGATCTGGACAGAGTAAGTTAGATGTGGTTTTTGTTGACTTCATGGTTGCTAGTGAATGTTCTAAATTTAAAACTGCTCGTAATGGTAGATGGGATGCACTGCATCCAAGGATTCTCCTCTCCGCTGTCCAGCATACCCCTCTGCCCCACACCACAATGCTGGCTCCAAGGGCAGTCCTGGGAAATTGGCTGTGGGGGCAGAGGGAGAGTGCTTGAAAGTCCGAGTCTCAGCTCCGACCTTGGAGTGCTTGTCTGAGGTTGGGCCTGGGTCTCCGAGTTATCCTAGGCCATTCCGACAACAACTATTGACCATAGGAGTGTGCACCAAGGATTCATTCCTATGTGTTTTTGGACAGAAAAAAACTTCTACAATTCCCAGCATTCAGCTAGGCAAAGCTGGCAGTTGTGGGATTTTTCTAAATATATTTTGCAATTACGAAACTCTCAAAGAAAATTCCCAAGTGGTCAATGGATTGCACTCATAGTTTTGCCTGTAAAGCTGAAGATAAAATACGTTAAATTTACTATCCCGTCAACAACTGGATTTAAACCTGATGTGATTGTCTTTTGTATACCTTTGCCAAAATTCGTACAATCTATTGAAAAAGAATTCCTTATTACGTTCAAGAATGAACAAGCATCCTTGCAGCTGTAGCAGATGAGAATAGCTTAAAAACTAGCAAACTTCTGTCTACTTAGGTTTCAAACGACCTTCTGTTTTTTAAGTAGTCTTTTTGTTTCGCGTTTGAGATAGAGATTAAGGTGTCATTCCTAAAACTGAAGCGGAGGTTCGTCTGCAGTTTCACTTCAGCACGAGTAGTTCGTCCCCTGAGACCGCTGCTTTGTCGACAAGTGAGAAGAGGCACTTTGCAAAATGCAACGTGAGCACTCTTCTCTGTGTCTTCGTTTCGTGTTTCACACACAAGCGTCCTACTTTCAGAGATTTAGAGGTGCTTCCTTTTTGCCCTTCCGTGCTCAGAAAGATGGGCTAAATGATTCCTAAAACATTTTCTCCTACCTTAGCCCTATGAGTAGACTTTATATATCTTTCTGAGAAAAGACGGACGTGGGGGATGTAGCTCAGTGGTAGAGCGCGCGCTTCGCATGTGTGAGGTCCCGGGTTCAATCCCCGGCATCTCCAGTGTTTTTTGCCCTGCTGTTTCTTCAATCCATATACCCCAAGCACCTATATTTTTCCTTACTGGGTTTCTAAATAACTAAAAGTGTTTGAAACACATAGCTTACAATTGCAAACGGTCTGTAGTATTTCTTCCTCATTTTAAGGAACACCAGTTCTGTTGACTCCTACAACGTAAATGTAATGAACACACCTCTGTCGTTGTAAAACTGTAAAATAAAAAAGAATTGCATTGGCCGGGAATCGAACCCGGGCCTCCCGCGTGGCAGGCGAGAATTCTACCACTGAACCACCAATGCACACACTATGTACAGCTTGTCAGAAGCCTCTTCACGGAAAAGAATTCCAAATTCGCTTGGTAGAATCCAGCCAAAATTTGGTGAGAATAATTTATCAAATAAGGGATTTGTGTTAAATATGCATATACATATTTATATGTACCGATTCGATCTTAAAAACGATTACTGAAATTTAAACGGAAGTACAATACGACTTGCCCTAGTGGGAAAGGCTGTGTGGGAAAGGCTTGTGTGACCAGGTAAAATCGACTCAATTTGCAGAGGAGGTGTGGCTAAGTACTGATGGGCAATTTCAAGCCCCGTGCTTGCATTTCCTACACCCTTCATACGGTTCTTAATCGCTAAACTCCATTTGGACTTAATTTCCAGATGCCCTTCAAGTGCCCTTACTTTTAAATAAAGGACAGCCCTCCTGCAGAGCTCAAATAGAAGATGGTCCGGTACAAACTAGGATGCTCAATCGCCCTAAAGAGGAATTCTAGGGCTACGAAAAAGAAAATGTTTTTTTCCCCTTTCTTAGTTAACTTTTCTGTGGTAAGAAGAGAAACAAGTGGCAGAAGGGACAAAAGGGATAGGTGAAGAATGCAATGTTTTCTGGTGGAGACTGGCTTGTAAATTAATAGGAATGTTGGGGAACACTGCTGTAATAAAAGACTTGTTCTTTTCAAATACGCATAATTCCACTTTGAGATGGTCGCACTTGGATCCCATTGAAACCAGTTGGTCTCAAGAAAATCGCAGCAGATGTTTCACATTAATTTCAGTAGGATCTCAATGCAGCCAGCATAGTCTGGCTCCAGTTCATTTATTGTGGCAAATATTTTCAAGAACAAGAACCCCCATTCCAAAAGGAGCAATTTGAAGACCTCCCAGCAGCTGGCTGAAGATGAGGGTAAGTAAAGTGAGTGAGGACAGGATGCAGAGGATCCACCATTCCTTAGGAGGAATGCGAGGTGCTGTGGCACAGGGAACAGAGGGATGGCACTGTGTAGCCTTTCGTATGATCCAGCATGGCTCTTTTTACTTCCTAATGGAAGCATGAGAAGCAGGAAATTGCAGACATTATTCCACTGTAATGACTCCATGGATGCGAACCATGCCAGTCTTTGGAGACTTCCCCATGTCTTCTGGAACTTTAAGGACCTAAACTGTGACTGTTTGTAGCCATCAGATTTAATCTGAGCAATATCACATGGACCTAGTGGAGTCTTAATTCTCTAGGCTTATTTTATCATTCATTACCCTGTGGTTTCCAATTTCTCATCATATTGTATCACCTTGTTGCTTTTCCTCCCTCTCTTTTCTATCTAATAAAAATATTTGTCTCCAAGAACATTGCTGCAAATCTATCTACACTCACCTGTGAGTAAGCAACATGGAACACCATGGGCCTCTCTTCTGAGTAAACATGCATAGGATTGTGCAGTGAGTAGACAACATCTAATCATATAATTTTATGCATCTATTGTATAATCTGTATAATTATTATTTTAAGCCACATACTAGTTTTGAGTACAGTGTACTTGTACTTTTCAAAAGTCTTGTTTTTGCTGAGTTGGAGAGCACTTACTATTTGCTTTTAAGATTTTGCTTTTAACAATGTGAACCATCTGGACGGCACGTGGCTAATGGGGCAGCATACAAATTGACTAAATAAAATAGGACAGTTTTGCTACTGATAAGGCTCTGAAATTGTTGATGCTTTGTTTGTTTTACTCTTCAGATTAGGCCTAATAGTCTAGACTAGCCTCCTAGGCTAGTTTCCTCTGCCTGTGCAAGCCCATGTGATTATGAGAGTTCAGTGGAGACTTAAAACTTGCAGTATCACTTGAAAAAAAATGACTGCACTGTCTGCACTGCATCTTCCTGAATATCATGGATGGTTGAACTAGATCCCTGCTGCAAAGACAGTAACTAACCCTTGACTTGCATCTGCTGTGCTTATCCCAGTTTTTGTAACTTGTCCTCAAGCTGGGCTGTAGGGATAACTATACAGTGCATAATTCTGTGACCACTGATAAGCAGCTCTTGATTATCTGAGCAGGAAGCCAGCTCCAGGCACAGAGGCATGATGGAAAGGAGTGCTTGATAATAATTGGTACCAGGGCACAAATGACGCAGCTATCGTGGTGAAGCAAAACAAATCTGTCTATTCAACAGGGAAGCCTATGTATGTCCCTTTAGAGTGCTAGCATGGAAAAAAAGGGTGGGCATATCAAATAACCACTCCAAATGTCACTTAGCTGGAATTGGTGGGAGGCAGAGCCCAACAATATTAGAAGGATCCAAAGTTCATTCACCTTTAAGTCAAGAAGAAAAGCTAGTGAAAGCTCAAGAGCTTGAGGCTACTTCAAAGCTGTGGCAGAACCACCACTCCTGCATATGTTGTGTAAGTGGTGAAGACCTTTGGGGTCTGTCCAAAGACATACAGGTATGCATGCATGCACACACCATGCAGCATTCATTCACATAACTTGGATCTCTCTGCACCCAGGGTAGGAAAAGAGAAGGAAGAGGAGAGAAAAAAGGGGATGCAAGGAGGATGAAAGCTCATTGGTGAAGATTTTGCTTTGCCTCCTTTCCACCTCTGGTCTGTGTGTCTCAAGGAGGTTATGCATCAGAAACAAAGAAGGAGTTTGAAGCTGTTATGACACACACTATCATTTTTGGCTGTTTTTGCTGCAACACGCAACTGACGCTCAGGAAATTATTGTAAGCAAGAATGTACTCCTTGGGCAGAGAAATGTCTCCATCCTGCAGATTCTCAAAAGCATGCTGTTTGACCCCAATTTATGTACTGTGCTGGCAGGCATTCTCTAGTGATGGAGGTGAAAGGTAGACTAATGGACAACAGAAGGCAGGGAACATCTAGGTAGAAGGACTGCTAGATCTGAATGGAGGGAGCATGTAGTCAGATGAGTTTGCGGTTTTAATATTTTCCCTTATGACAAAAGGAAAGTCTGATCTTTTAGCGGGGGGAGCAAGGAAAAGCAAAACACACAAGTTGTTGATCATTTTAATTATATGAAAATATGTATTTTAGAGGAGAGATAACACTATAGTGTCTTGAAAATTAGTGTTCTAAGAATTAAAAAACCATTTTTTTAACAAGTTTGTCTTTCCATTATTTTTCATTTCTTAAACATGTCAATTTATACATACAAACAGATTTTACTGAATCAATTTAACATAGGATGGTTTGGAGTTTTCCATTTAGCTGCTATACAGGTTATAGTAATAGTCAAGCCATGCAACACTTTCAATGTTATCTTTGATTTTAACTACGTGTCCATTTCATACACCACCCACCTGTGAAAATTTTTACAGGTGACCCATCTTCTTGCACTCTGTAAAGTAGGGCTGGGTAGCACACAGTCTGCCATGAAAATTTGTGCAGCTCCTGAATCCTGCTACCAAAATCACAGTGATTCGGCAACAAAATAAGCTGCTTAGGAAGTACATGCTTTGCTTGCCAGAAAAATTAGATGCCTGACAGCCCATGAAATTGCTGCTTGACAGGCTATGGGAGCACAATTCTGTTTGGAAACATAAAGCATACTTCCTGCATATTTTCCTGCAGAATCAATAATTCCACAGGGCTCTTGGGAGATGGCTCCCTTTGTGTGCCCCCTTTTCCTGCAAAATGGGGCTTCTGGTAGCTAACCAAATAGATGGCCATGGAACTTGAAAAGCAGAACTGGACTCTGAATTTCTGTACCAAATTTCATTCCAATATCACTATTCAACAACATTATTGGGTCACTAACAAACTTACCTTAGGGCTTTATGCCATATTTTACTATTGTAAGTAGAATGAAATTATTTAGGAAAGCTAAAGCAGAAATTTCAATCAGCAGGTACATTTCTTTTGTAATATCTGCTGCTGCTTGCCCCAGTGCCAACAGGCTTGTTTGGGATTGGCATAGCATTTCACATATTTCCTGAAATATTGCTCAAGAGATTGGATGAAAATGGCTAAGCTGAAAATACAAGAACTGTTTGGCAGAATGAAATATTTAAGTGGAAGTAGGACAGCAGGTGTATAACAAAGCAATTATTTAGCTCCTTCTAAGTAAAAGTCAATCTGTTGGTTTTACAGAAAATCTAGAACACATATTAGAAAAACACCCCTACTATCTCTCTGCAAAAGAGGAGATCAGCCTACAATCTGAGTATTAAAATTCAATACAAGAAAAAAATGCATTACATTAGATGTTACAGCCATGAATTCATATTAATGTCCACATGCCCAATGGGACGTCATAGAACTTACTTCCATTTTAATAGTTCGTTATTAAAAAGTTTCCCAGAAATATCAAGCTCTTCATTTGAATCTGCACATCTACTGTTGTTAAATCTGTATTAGCAGTGATTGTCGAATGCTGGGGTAGAGCTGAATTTGGGGGAAGGGTCAAGCTTTGTCTTACCTGTGAAAGGGGAAAATAGCTAAAGTTTCTATGCCCATTCAACAGCTACTCCAGCTGCCTACCAGTAAAAAGTGACAAATGATACCTATCTGCTCCCAGTTTCCACATGTGTCAGCATTTCTAGGAGAGGTATGACAATGACAGAGACTACAAATAATGGCTGGTTACAAAGTCCAGCCATAATAGGTGAACCCCAGCTTTCTAGGTGACAAGAACAGTAGAAAATTGAGACTTGGACTCACTGAACAAAAACACCACAATTAGCAGGCATGCAAGAATACAGAAAGTTAGGGCAAAATGAACTACTAACCTTTAAAGCAAAGGGTTAGTATCCATGAGGTTTAAGGCATTCAAGCTGCCAATTATGGCAGCATTCAAAAACAAATCTGTGGGTGGGGAAAACAACCATTCCAAGCAGCAGAAATTCATAGCCAGATTAAGCTCCATGCACAAGAATTAGTTCTAACATCTAAAGTTACATAAAAGTTAGAATCTGATTTATTTCTCAGCACTTGGTATTTCATTAGTTCCTTTTATGTCCACTCTGTGTATATGCAGTACCTGAGAGTATTTTAGAGTATCAATTCTAAATTGGTTTTTGAGTTGCCCACAAAAATACCACAAAAAGTAGGGCTAGATTGGATAGTGTCTCACCAGGAAAAAACTGCCCAAGCCATCGCAAACTTTCTAGACAAGTTACACTGAACACTTATGCCCCAGTGTTTTTTCTTTTTTGAATTTTGAACATCTGTAGGCAAATACTGCACCATGCTACTTTAAGTACTGAATGCTGTTCCTGACCAGTTGCATTTGTGATACAATCTTCAGTTGTAGATCGGATGTGGAAGACTTGAATCACTTAACCTGAAAACACACACAAAGGGCAAGTGTTAACAATTTCGGAACATAAAATATCCAGATGTACTAACAGATTTTAGGAAATATACTCAAATATGTAGCAGTTGCTAGTGTTCAACAGAAATGCCTCCTTTGCTGAACAATATCACACAGCAAATTTACTCTTACTGTTGATAGATGGATAATGACACTGAACCAATCATTATCTCCGTGGCAACAGTATTAATATGTCAGAGGAACATTGCACATGGAGCTGCCATTACTTTTTACACTCCTGCCTCGGCTTCCTCAAACAGATACTCTTTCTGCAAAGCCAGGAGACCCAGAGTACAGAAGCAACTAAGGGCAATTTCAAGGCTGCAGACTTACTGCCATGAATGGATAGCCCAACACTTTTATTTCCGTACAGATGTTGATGAAGTAGGTTTTTGCCTACAAAAGTTCCATCTTTTAGTGTTAGTTTTGTAAGAGACTGTTACCTTTTCTATCACTAACTTGGCTTCCCTTCTAGAGTTTATATAATTACATTTTGAAAGCCCTTGTTGTGATGCAAACCAGATGTTTCTGGGAACTATGCCATAAGGTATGAAGGCAACAGTCCTTTTCTACTCATTCTCCTGCTTCTAGCAAAGGGAATTCCAAAGATTACTGCCCCTGAATCTGAAAGTTCCATTATGATATAATGGATCAACAATACTGATCTAGACTTCGTTTCATATTACTTTTTATAACAGATGGAGATCACAATTCTATATAATTCAGCTGGCAACATTTCCATCAATATTAGATAGGGTGTTTCTGAAAGGAAGTAGCTATATGTTGCTACCTTTCATTGCATTTATGTAGTCAGATTATTGACAGCTGCAATTATTTCCAGTAACAATTTATCCAGCTGCATTCCACTTAGGAAAACCTCATTCTAGGAATATCTGGTATCAATTGTATTCTTGGAAATGCTCATCATTTTAACAGAGATCTTCATATTCTTCTGTTCAACAGCAAGAATGTATGTGTGCTGCCAGAGAAGAGAAAGCGGTTTGAGTACACAGTTCACCAAATTTAATCAAAAGAGTTGTAGAGTACTAATATTGGGTGTCTGCTCTACAAACATTTGAGGATAAATCAAACTGAAAAGTTGTACATAGCTGGGTAACCCAGAAAAAAAGAATGAGTAGCTTTCTTATTTCTGTACTAAGGACAGTATCCAGTGCTAGCATAAATGACCTATAGCATTTGCTGGTTGCAGAAGTTTTTTCAGAAAGCCTGTTCACCTGTAAAAGCTATTGGCTTCGTGCTAAAGATAGTTTCCAGTGGCACAACACAAATTACATCAGCAGTAGCGGATGCTATTGAATGAAAGGAATTCCTGGAATTCTAACTGCAGCTTCTCCAGGTGTGCCACACATATTTTGTTACCTTTCATATCATTAGATAAGGAGAAAAACAGTGCATGTTTTCCCCCAGATTTGGAAATGTGCAAGCTTCCTTTTACCACTTGAGCAGCACCTTTCTCTGAAACACTGATAGCTATTAGGATAACTCAATTCATTTGCATTGTTTCCACCTAAATCATCATTCAAGTGTCTCATGCCACTGGAAAAGGATAGCTCACACAACTAGATGTGATCTTCCATATCTGTCCTGCCTTCTCCTTCATTAGTAGTTCTGAGATATTCTTAGTATGCCACTCCTAAGAATGTGGCTGTTGATCCATTCCACGCTTATGCTGTGGGGCGGTACAGAAATGAAAGCATAGTAATAATGCTACACATGAAGCTGCCATATTCTGCTCACCGGGTCCGACACTGACTGTGCCAAAATGACAATGTGAAAAGCCTCTAGGTGAGCTCATGAAAGAGGCACTCGCGGTCTCAGTCGCCCTTAGCCCCTCTCCCCGCAACACGGGCAATAATATTAGCTTACTGATGAAACACTTGAAAACACTAATTATTATCTCACTCAATCGAAACGGCTCCCGTTAACTTCACGCTGCTGCTCCGGACTGACATGCTAGCCTACACTATGACGACCAACGACCACTATGACGCCGCTCCGCTAATCCCGGTACAAAATAAACAGGAAGCGGAAACCCACCTCCCCTCATACTCCCCCCACCCGAGCATTGCCGGTGGATGTTGGGAGTTGTAGTCCAACGCAACTGGAGGGCACCAGGACGGGGAAAGCTACCGTAGAATGGCAAAGCCATCGCCGTGCGCTTCACGACTTTTCAGGGTTCGTTTCACTTCTCTCATCTGACACTGACCAACGAACAGATCATCGACATAATTGTAAGCCTATCATGAAAAGCCCAGCGCTGATCCCTAGACAGGGATACTAAAGGCTCAAGGCGGCGCTGTGCAATTGGGCGGTATGATTAACTAATCAAAACCCAGATATTGAATTCCCGTCCGTTGGTTGGTCATCAGGAAGGGATTATAGAGCACATGCTCTCTCTTCACAGTGATTGGTAATTTGAAACCGATTGACAAGCTTATTGACCTTTTGTCGGGCAAGGCTGTCAGGGGGCGGGCACCTATTTGCACCAATCAGAGGGGAGTGTTTCCGTGAGGCCTTTCGTGAGCAGGGTCGTCAGAGAGGACTAGTTCTACGAGGGGCGAAGAAGGCGAGGCGTCGACGGCCATGAGTGGGTCCTTTTGCAGGCTGTCCGCGCCTCTGCGGCTCTTCGGAGGCCCACTGCCCCTGAGGCTTTTCGTGCGGCCGTTGAGCCAAGCTGGAGCGGACTCCGGGGGTGATGGAGGCGCTCTGACCGACGGATCGAAGGAGGCGGTGGAGCGGCTGGTGCGCGCACATCCCGTGGTGGTTTTCATGAAAGGCAGCCCGGCCCGGCCCCAGTGCGGCTTCAGCAACGCGGTGGTGCAGATCCTGCGCTTGCATGGCGTCAATGACTACCGCGCCTACGACGTCCTCCGGGACTCCAATCTCCGGCAAGGTAACGGCTGCAGGGGTCGGCCCCGCCCACTCCCACTCTTTCCGCCGAGAATCGGGGGCCTACAGGGCCCACGGTGCCCTTCAGCCTTTCCAGCCTGCCCTGAAGACCCAACTTGCAAAATCTAACATTTATTTTTTCCCTAGAGCTTTAAAATATTATCTTTTTTATTTGCCTATTTTACTGTGTGTGTGTGTGTGTGTGTGTGTGTGTGTGTGTGGGGCAAAGAGTCCTGTAACTCCCAGCATCTTCCATTTGGTGTGATATAGTGGTTAGAGTCTTGGACTGGAACTTGGGAGCTCTGGGTTCTTACCCTCACACAGCCATTAAGCTCACTGGGTGACTAAAGGTCAGTCAGTGACTTTCACCCAAGTTTCCTCTTAGTGTTATGAGAAGAGAGGAGGAATATGAGTTCCTTGCAAAAGGAAAAGAGCAAAAAACTATAAAATAAAATTGTGGTTCTGTTTACTCTAGCCATCTTAGGTCAGGGTGTAAGTCAGTAATGCAATACCAATGAATAAGGGGAAGTTATTTCCATCTTTTAGTCTTCTTTAGCATCTTACATTGCCACCCCCAGTTGTAAACCTATGTTCAGGATTAAATAATACAGAATGAGTACCACCCCCTTGTTTGGTGTTTATAGCAATTAATGCAGACTGGAGGTGGACTAGTTATTACCGTACCTGGCTCATGTGTAAGTTACTACTACTGCCATGTGTAGCCTATTCACAAGAGTAGTGTTATGGCTGAAGTGAGGTTATGTTGAGAATTGCAGCTGATGCTACTTGTTGAAAACAAACAAAAAAGCTATATGTCTTTCTTGTACACTAAATTGAAAACAAATTGATTTTGAGATCATGCGTGCAACTTAATTTCCAATGTTGCATTATCATAGAATGTACATGGAAAAAATAGTTCCCCCCAACCTAGTATTGACACCCAAAAGGATACAGAAGGGAGAGTAACCTTCACTGCCTTAACACTTAAACACATGACATGTGACACTAATACTGTAAGTACATTCACACTTGTATAAAAAATAAGTACTGGTTCTTTCATAAACGCACAAACTGGAACTGGTTGTGTAAGTGTTTTGGGGCGTTTCTTGCTTTTCTCATTCTGCACAGTTTAACCAAACTCTGTTGGTTAAACATATATCTGACTTACAGATTCTATCATGGACTAACAACTTAAGCCTGATGTTTTTTATTTCTCTGTACAGACATACCAATTTCTTCCCTGCAACCTAATAGCCTGGAAACAAAGGAAGAATGCTTCAGTTAACAAAAGTTTCCTACTTTCTTGCCTAGAAGTGATTCTTGTTTGCTACAGGCAAATGTCTATTTACAAATGTAATCCAACTATCTTTGAGGTAGTGTGGATGTGTACTTTGGCAGCATATGCTGCAAGTATTTGTACCTGAGAAAATATTATTTCTTCCCTCCTCCTATCCATGGTGCAATTGTCATGGTGAAAGTGGTTCACAGGCATTAAATTGCTATTACCTCTCTCCTATATGAGTATGCCACTTGTGACCTTTGAGTATTAAAATATTCCCATGCTCTGCAGCTCCTGCGTAGGAGTGTCCTCAAGCTGGACTTAGAGAAAAGTATATAGAGATTATTATGCTACTTCACAGAATTGCAGCTCACAAACTGTAGAGCTGATTATGCTTGCTGCATAAAGGAGGATAGTCTGATTTGATCCTATATTATGGACATAGGCCTTTAGTGTGTGAGAGGGGAGGGAGGGAGAGAAACTTCATTAATAGAGTGTGTTCATCTTGAGGTCTTGATAAGGGAGAAACCCAAAACACTTAGAGAATATCAGCAATGGAATATTGTCAATATACTTGATGTTTTATCTTCAGGAATCTATGGCATTTCTATTCTGTGTTTGTGAGCTGTGGTTGCTGGAGTGCTTTGGATACAATGCTTTGGATACATTAAGATTAGGACCTTAATATTAGCATGTCTGTGCTGGCTTTATCAAGTCAAGGACTGTGGCCTTGAAACTTAGTTGTGGGTCTACAGCTTATGTCAAAGCATTTCTCTGACATATGTGCAACAGCTTGCACCTCTCCCTGAACTCCCAGGGTCTGTTCGGAAGAGATAAAGAATTTAGACAATGCTCAGTGTGCAAGAGTGTTTAAGCATAGGTCCAAGAAGTGTTGGTTCTTTGTAAAAAATGAAACAAAAAACTCCCTTATTTTTCATGCCGTGCATAACCCTTCATGTAGTTCCCATGAATCTGTTTTGCAAGGGTTTAGTGCTGGAAGTTTAATCGAGATCAGATTGCTCCTGAGTTTAGAAAGATGCATGGCTCTTTCCTAAAAGCCTACTAGCTGCCAGGATTATAGCTGAAATGGGACAATTGAGAAACAAAAAGGAATCAGTCTGAGGTGGTACGTTCTAATGGCATGAAGTCCTTTCAAAGCAGGGTACTAATAACCCTATTCTCACTCCTGGAATATAGTTATGTGTACATTTGTGATAGGGGTTTTTAGGGTTAGGGATGGCAAAATTGAAAAAATTCCAGTGCTCTAAATAATGTTACCTGATTCATTATGTTTGGTATTTTTTACCTGCACCGCCCTTTCTTTAAGAAGCTCACAATATCTCATATTTAGTAAACAGAACAAAAACTGTAATGATGTATTCATAGTGTATATTACATTGACCTTAAGTCTTCCCAATAGCTATTAAATATTTGAACTGAATTATTTGCTTTGGGGGAAAAGTACATGATGCAGTTTAAATGTTATATTCAAAACTGTTCAAAGCTTTATGTGGAAATTATCTTTACATTTTTACAAATATTCCAGTAAAATAAATACAAACAAGTATGTGCTATTGCTAATAACACTGTTTTTAAGGTGCATACTCAAAGAAAGCTGATATAGCAACAGTTTAATTTTCTTTTGCAGAAGTGACTAATACCAACTCACCATCTCCTCTGTTTATCAGTACCATTTCAAGTTGAGAACAACTAATTGAACATTATTTTTCACTAAAGGAGGGATGTTGGTCTTTGGGCACAGCCCAGCGAGCTTGAGCGTGAGACCGTGCTCATGGCACGAGCAACTGTCTGGCCAATGTGTGAACAGAATGCTGGACTAGATGGGCCCTTAGTGTGATCTAGCATGGCTCTCTGTTAAGTGAAATAAACAGTAATCACAATCTATTTCAGCTTTCCTCCAGTTTGATATGGAAGAATCAATAGAGGGCAAATATATCATCTATAGAACTGGTCCAAGCACAGCCTGGAGCTTGTTTGTTTGTTTGTTTGTTTGTGTAAAACATTTGTATGGGCTTAGTCATACCTTATTGTTCAGTTCCCTCATGAGCAAGTGAGCGTTAGGGTTTGCCAGTGCTTGCTTTAGAATAATAACTTACAGAATCCCATAGCCTATGTTTAACCAATCTAACATTACCGATTGAAGTATATCAACCTAGACAACCTTAGATAAATACCAATTATATATAGTATGGAAAATTTTATATGGTAAAATTTAGCTTTAGAACATTTTCATACAGTGTTATATTAACTAGACCATAAGGTGTGACTGGAGAATCCTCAGTTTAAATTGTCATCAAGCTCACTGGTTGGCTGAGAACTAGCAACTTGCCCATGGTCAAACATATAGCACTGTTAGGTTAAAATGCTGCTCTGTACTTGTGCAGAAATTAGTAAATAACCCTTTAGTTGGGCTTCCCTACTTGCTTGACTCTGAAATGCACTAGCAGGGTTTCAAACGCTACTTTCAGCTTCTGCTTGCATTCTTCTTTTCCATACTACTTCTGTCTAACCTGGCAGAATTGGGTCTGGAACATTTTTGGATTTTCACACATTGCTACCTTTCCACAGTTCCAGCAGATGCCATAGACACCCTGTTTGGAAGCCTCAAGCCTTATATTATATAGTGCTGTTAGGAAAAGTAGTATTTTACAGAGCAGCAAAAGAAAAATGACAGCTTTCATATTCCAAGGAAGGGAAAGAGACAGCAGTGGTACTGGCTTATGGCCACTAAGCCATGCAAAATGGCCTGTGCAGTTCCTTTTTCATCTCTTGTGAGGTCTAACTGCCTTGCTTCTTTCTGGACTTTCAAAAATGTTAATAAGTTGTCTAATGTGTTTGGGAACCCTTGGTTTGACTTTTCTTTTTTTGGTGCAGGAATTAAAAACTATTCCAACTGGCCTACTATTCCTCAAGTCTACCTCAATGGTGAATTTGTGGGAGGCTGTGACATACTTCTCCAGATGCATCAAAGTGGAGACCTAGTGGAAGAGCTTAAGAAATTAGGAATTCGCTCTGCACTTCTGGATTCAGAGAAAGACCATGGAAAAAAATAAGCTGCTGTGATTTTGACAAAGACAGCTTTTGATAACTGGTACCAGAAAAGCCTTATGTAATTTAGCTCAAGAAGGCAACTTTTTGAACTAAATGAGGTTTATCACTTAGCATTCTGTTATCCACTGTCTCGTATGATAGACTGATGTGTGAAAATTCTGTTATGAAAGTTTTTATGGATATAGCATTGTTAAGCAAATGTTTTGCGATCAAAGTAAATAAGCATTTCACTTCTTCTTTGTCCTGTATTGTATGCATTTTGCTTCAACTGAATTTTTTCAAACATTTTTTCCCTGAGTGCGTCTGTACTAGGTATATACTCCAGAATAGTCATTTTTTACAGGGCATCCATTTATTTGGTGCAGTCATCCAGCTATGAGTATGGTGTTTTATCTGTGCTTATTCAGTCTTTTCCTGGATTGCAGAAAGTCTGGCTCCTTTGTAAGGAACAAGAGAGTAGTGTTATCTCGCAGTTGTAGAATTCCTAATCTAGCTCTTTCATCTTTTTGAACAGGTCAGATTCTTAAGTGGCAGTTCTCTTTTGGGAGACTGGGTTCTTTTACCTTACCTCTTCTCTACTGGGGTGTACCCTGCTTTCTTTTACTGCTGTTTTAATAGCCCTAAGATAATAGTGTGTTTTAAATTTAATTTCTGATAAAGCACTGATATTAAAAATCATTTACACTGCTTCAGTTAAGGAGGAAAATACCAAAGTATTGAAATTCCCTGTAGAAGCCAAGGTTCTGCAGGTTTTTATAAATATTTTTGTTGGCTTGACACTGCACACATGCACAAAACATTTGGTTGATGTGGCTATGTGTGTTTGTATGTGTGCTTCCTGCCTGGTTCCCTCCTACTTACTGTCCCAGAGCTGTCACTCCCCATTGCATTGTCCCAGTAAATAGCATGTTAGCATTCAGTTTTTAACAAAAAGTGTAAATTGGCACTATAATGCTGTATAGTAAATTTTAAATAATCAAATTTTAAAAATAAAGGTATGAATAAGAGAACTAACAAATGGCTAAGAATGAATGAAAAATGTCTTCCTGAAACAATTAGAAGAAGTAACCTCAAGGGTGGGCAACTTGTGGATTTTCAGCTGTTTTGACTTCTAGCTCTCATCAGCCCTATCCATCATGGCCAGTGGTGAGGAATGATGGGATTTCTAGCCTCCAAATGTTTTGATCAAGTTGCCCACCCCTATATATCTAGGAAGTCAATTGAAAGAAGCAGTTTTTCAGTTTCAACAACCCATTTATTTATGTAAAAATGAGAGCAACCTGCTAAATTAAGCAAACTCACTTGATATCCACAGTACTTTTGCCCATAGAGACTTGCTATCTTCTTCATCTTTCATCTAGCCATCTTCATACACCCCTGCTCACATACATTCATGTACACACACTTCTCTAGTGTGCTAAATCCCAACAATGCTACCATAGGAGTAAGCTGTCAGTAAGCCCCATTGAAATCAGTGAGGAAAGTTTTAGGCTACCAGTGTTTGTTTCTCCCCCACTACATTTTTGCTGTCCTATACACTACAGGACAGCAGGAAAAGGAAGTTGTTTTTAAATGTCTTTTTCAGCGTACCTAAATCAAATCCTTTTTTTTTTTAACCTTTCAGGGAGTGATTGGACAGTTGTTCATTAAATAACTGCTACAATGCCAGATAATTAGTAACTTAAAGATTGGAGTGGGGGGAATATGAAAAAATGGCTGCCTAGGTGAATTGTCCCTTCACCCCTCACACATCTGGGTCATGATGTAGCATGTGTGCCCCAGTGTTAACATAAAAAGGCATAATATCCTCTGTGGTATGTAAAATGAAGTACAGTTCTGATTATAGTTGAAGAACATGACTGGGTAGGAGTAGGGCTCATCTTTGTCTTGCAAATTGTGTTCCCTATATATAATCTCAAAAAATGTGGTTCAGATGACAATACAGCCCACTGTAGGTTACTTAACTACTGGGGCCCCATCCACCATTATGAATACATAGGTTCCAGCTGAAAGGTGTGGTGGCTTGGTGTGTCATCTGAACCTGAGTGGCAAGGTTTTTTGTGGGTTAAACAACACTTGCAGAAACCATGGCCTATTTTAGGATTATGTGTGAGTTGTTTAACACCCATTGTTTGGGTTCAAATGACAAGCTGTGGCAACTCCCCAGCAGAGGTTACATGTTCATAATGGCAACCAGTTAACCCATGATAGTCTGTTGTATCATCTACACTGCCCCATAGTGTTTAGATTTTCCTTGCCTTTCCATGAAAGATGAGAAGAAATAATACCAATCATCCTACATTTATGGACACATATTAACTCTGCAGTATAAGCATTCTGAGGTCTTGGTTTGAAAACAACACACTAATACTATAAACCCATGTGGGTTTTGAGAAAAATTGCAAAGTTTGGATTAGAAGAAAGTAACTTCTACCTCTATCCAAAAGACTGCCTCTGTTGTTAAGCATCACCATATCAGTGATTAGTGCTTTAATATGTATGAAGTTTTAAAATCTTTTCTTATGTGGTTCTGAAGAAGGTACACAGTGATGAGTTTTGAAACAGCTCCATTGTACCTTCTATGTAAGTATACAGACCATTGGGAAGTAGATATTGTATATTCACCATGCTGAAGTATTTCATTACAAAGTTATGCATGAAGATGCAGTTTCAAGGTTGGAGAAAATTATTGCCTCATTGAAGAATATAATCTTCAGTCTAAAATGAGCAAGTATAATTGTTTCATGTTCAAGATGGAAAAAAGTAAAAGAAGTAGAATATTAGTAGGGATGTCTTTCTAAAACTTGTGTATATCAGACTTCTTAATATTTCTGTTTCTAAGCAGGAAAATATATTTTATTCTTTGAATGCATGTGTGCACTGTACTGTGCATCATAGTAACAGCCCAGTATAGTTAGGTTCCTCATACTTATTAAATGTGAGAACAGTGTACATCCATGGATATGGAGAAGCTATCTGAGAAACTGCTACTTCGTGATCTATGATTATACCCATTAAGATAAAGGGCATATAAGATAAATTTCAGTATCATGTGTCTTTATTGGTTTCTTGAGACTTTTTAAAGTCTTCAATATGCTACAAATAGCTTCAATTAAAAGCCGTCAGTGGTGGAGACCAAGGATAAATCTTTCAAACTGAAACTTAAAAGATCCTGTATAAGCCATTGCGAACCCTCATCTAATGGTCATTTTGAGACAGCTAGAAGGATGCTGTGTGTGTTGTAATGTTGCAGGAACAGATTGTGGTGGTGAATGCTCCTTCCTGCAAGCTTCTGCTTCCTGCCTCTACCTCTTAGGACAGTGAAGGTAGTGTGGACAGTGACTCAAAATCTCATAAGCAGAAAGATAACTGAACAAGGTGAGGGTGCCAAACCTCAGTCTCCTGGGAAAAATCAGACCTACTTGGGATTCCAGCCCAGCCCTCTGGGGTTCACCCTCTTTCGCAGAGTAGACTCATGAAGAATGTGTTTCAATGGAAGCACCTGTTTTCCCCATCAATACAAGTGGAACTCCCTAAATTTCAGGAAGGAACACAATACAAAAAGCACTGTCTTTATCATTATGTTCTTTTGAGCACTGGTAATCGTGTATGGGGTAAAGCGCTCATCAGAGCAGTGCAGCTAATACTGATGTTAAGAGGAAAATGAAAGCTTTCTGCTCAGTTCAAAGAAGCATCCCTGTGTTCTTTCATTGTTCAGTTTATGCTTATACTGGGGCTTCAGGATACACGGTGCAGAGATGTGATGACTGGTAAACCCAGTTGTGTCCAGAGTCTTAAAGTAACAATGCCGACAGATTGTGTTCTGGCCAAGTGAAGCATTGAACCAGCAGGCCCGATTGACCGGAATAAAAGCCAAATCAAGTTCACTAAAACAGATGTGTTTTCTTCTGCATTAAGATGAGCACCCCAAATTGAGGGACCTGCAAAGGGCTTATGCGGAGTAGACACATGAAGAACATGTTTGAATGGAGTGTTAGACTGCGACATCAATTCAATTGAAATCCCTTAATTCCAAGAAGGAACACAACAGTAAAAGCTTTGTCTTTATCATAACATTCTGAACCCTCGCAATTGTGGATGGGGTACAGTGCTCATCAGAGAAGTGCAGCTAATATTGACGTCAAATGGAAAATGGGAGCTTTACCCTCGGCTAGTAGCACCAGAAAGAATGAAGCGACAGGGTCAAAGCCGAAAGGACACTCGGTTGCAGATGTACCTGGTGGTGAAAGGAGAGTCTGATGCTGTAAAGATCTATACTCCATAGGAACCTGGAATGTAAGATCCATGAATCAAGGCAAGCTGGATGTGGTCAAACAAGAAATGACAAGACTGATCATCGACATCTTAGGAATCAGTGAACTAAAATGGGCAGGAATGGGTGAATTTAATTCAGATGATCATCAGGTATACTACTGCGGGCAAGAATTCCTCAGAAGAAATGGAGTAGCCTTCATAGTCAATAAAAGAGTAGGAAAAGCAGTACTGGGATACAGTCTCCAAAATGACAGAATGATCTCAGTTCGAATCCGAGGAGAACCATTCAACATCAAGTCCAAGTCTATGCCCCAACCACTGGTGCTGAAGAGGCTGAAGTTGACTGGTTCTATGAAGGCCTACAACACCTTCTAGAATTAACACCAAAAAATGATGTCCTTGTCATCATGGGGGATTGAAAAGCCAAAGTAGGAAGCCAAAAGATAACCAGAATAACAGGCAAGTTTGGCCTTTGAGTACAAAATGAAGCAGGGCACAGGCTGGCAGAATTTTGTCAAGAGAACACACTGGTCATAGCAAATACTCTTTTCCAACAACCCAAGAGACGACTCTACACGTGGACATCACCAGATGGTCAACACAGAAATCAGATTGACTATGTGCTCTGCAGCCAGAGATGGAGAAGCCCTATACAGTCAGTAAAAACAAGACCAGGAACTGACTGTGGCTCAGATCATGAGCTGCTTTTGCAAAATTTAGGCTTAAATTGAAGAAAGTACGAAAAAGCACTAGGCCACTCAGGTATGGCCTAAATCATATCCCTGATGAATATACAGTAGAGGTGACAAATAGATTTAAGGAATTAGATCTGATAGAGTGCCTGAAGAACTATGGACGGAGGTTCGCAACATTGTACAAGAGGTAACAACTAAAACCATCCCAAAGAAAAAGAAATGCAAGAAAGCAAAATGGCTGTCCGAGGAAGCTTTACAAATAGC